TGAACTCCTGGGCTCAAGCAATCCTTCCGCCTTGACCTCTCAAGAGTGCTGGGACTATAGACATGAGCCACCTCGCCCAGCCCTGTTTGAAACTTCTAAGACAAAAACGTATTTACACTTTGTGAAATTAAATTTTTGATAATAGGACTCAGAAACTCAACCAGAAGAGATAATATAACGAATAAGCCAGCAAAAACAAGCCTCTCTCTTTATCCCCCTCCCACCCTCTTTTTGCCACAAGCCTCTCTCTTTATCTCCCTCCCACCCTCTTTTTGCCATTCAGTGTGAGGTGGGTGGAACCTGATCACCCCAGCAACCTTCTCACTTCCTCAAACGGCAGCAAGAATCCTTGTAACAACTACTCTAAAAATAGGATGTGCACAGTTATATTGAGTCAAGAAAGCCTTAAAAAAGGCATCCTTCAGGAATGAATCGTGAAGCAAGGTACCGTACGTGATGCTAGAATAGGAGAATAATGGTCCTGACAGTCCCCTAGTCTCATACATGAGGTCCTTGGCTACTCAGTCAGGGGTATTTTTCCTTGAGAGGTGACGCAAGAGATGTGGGGGATAACTGAATTCCTGTACAGTTAACCCTTCCATGGATTATGTACTTTTTGGATTATTTCTAGCACCTTCTAAATCCTAAAGGGATTTTCCCCTACTGTTCAGCATTCTTCTGAGTCATCTCCCAACCTTCTTCAGTTGGTAGTTCAAGGAATGTAAATTAGTTTTCTATTAGCCTAAACAAACATAATTGGAAAGGAAAATCCCTTGAGGCAAAGAACACCTATCAAAGCCAAACAAATTACCTCTGACCATTGTAATCAGGGAAATAAATGAGGAACCAATGTAATTATCTTTTTCATCGCTAGAGAAAGTGTTTTAATGTTTTCTTTTATAGATTTCTTCAGTATTTTATCATCCTGATGTTCTTTTATATTTCTGTTAAATCACTCATTCTGCAACGTGAGCCCATTCTCTTTTGAGGGCAGCAGGAAAGTGGATGAGCTAGCCTCATTTATTCTAAATGCACTTTCCATCCTTGTCAATGTACAAACATGGTAATTTTATGCGCATTTCTTTTTATAGTTACTTAACCCACATACATATTATTTTTAACATCACTGTGACATTTTCTAATAGTAGCTGCCATGTCTACAATGAGTCATGTACTCTATTAGGAATTTTATACATATATTATTGTATTTAATCCTCTCAACCACCCTACAAGGTAGATGTAATTATCGCTAATGTATAAATGAGGAAATCGAGGCTGACATATTTTTGATGAGTAAAAGAACTAATAGAATATTGGGAGTGAGACAGCAAATTGTCTTATTCTGAAGCCCACCATCAACCCATAATGCCCTGCTTTCCCCTATCATGTTGTTATATTATGGTTTGTTTAGCTGATTCCCTACTACTAGGCATTTTGAGTTATCTTTGATTTTGTGGCAGCCATAATATCTTATGAAAATTTTTTGTGACCATAATCATCCTGGGTCTCAACGTAGCTCAGCCTCGCCAGACTCACATAGCACTGCCCAAATGTCATTTTAGAATGAATTCCAGGCCTGATGTGGTGGCACATCCCAGCCACTCAGGAGGCTGAGGTGGGAGGATCCCTCGAGCCCAGGAGGTTGAGGCTGTAGTGAGCTAGGATTGCACCACTGTACTCCAACCTGGGTGACAGAGTGAGACCCTGTCTCTAAAAAAAACAGAATGAAATAAAAAATAAATAAAATGAATTCCAATCTTCATTTTGTCTCTTTCAAAGAAAACAGGAAATCCAGTTCAAAACTCATAGCCATACTCCTCCAGTCTTCCTTCACTCCCGAGCTCTCCCACACTAGCTACTGTAGAGGCTACTATCACCCCTGTGACTCCCATCAAGCCAGTTTTCCAACTGTTCTCCCTCTCTCTCTTCTCACCTTCTTTTTGGCTCTTTATTTCATAGATCAATTCAGCTTCTGGGGCCAGTTCCTCTGGCCTTAGCCATTCTGGCCTGGTTTCTCTCTACTCATTCTCCTGAGAACCCATCCGAAAGAGCTGGGAAAAAAGTCTCCTTTTTTTTTTGAGACGGAGTCTTGCTCTGTTGCTCAGGCTGGAGTGCAGTAGCTGGGATTACAGGCGCCCGCCACCATGCCTGGCTAATTTTTTTTTTTTTTTTTAAGTAGAGATGGGGTTTCACTGTGTTAGCCAGGATGGTCTCGATCTCCTGACTTCGTGATCTACCTGCCTCGACCTCCTGAAGTGCTGGGATTACAGGCGTGAGCCACTGCGCCCAGCCAGAAGTCTCCTTTTATGGCAGTTGGAGATACGGTTTGTATAGAAACGGGGCTAGAAGTCAGGGAACACTCACATATGAATCAGTTTTATTCCCGTGGTCTTCGCAGTTAAAGTTTCTGTTTTTTCATTTTAGGATCCCCCTCCTCCCCACCACAGTGATAGTCTCCAAAGTGAGATTTGTGGGTCATTGAATAAATCTATAATAGTGGATAGTTTTAATTAGGAAGTATTTCTACTGTTATTCTACTGTTAATTTTTTTTTTTTTTTTTTTTTTTTTTGAGATGAAGTTTTTGCTCTTGTTGCCCAGGCTGGAGTGCAATGGCACGATCTTGGCTCACTGCAACTTCCGCCTCTCGGGTTCAAGCAGTTCTCCTGCCTCAGACTCCTGAATAGCTGGGATTACAGGCATGTACCACCATGCCCAGCTAATTTTGTGTTTTCAATAGAGATGGGGTTTCTCCATGTTGGTCAGGCTGGTCTCGAACTCCTGACCTCACGTGATCCACTGGCCTCGGCCTCCCAAAGTGCTGGGATTACAGACATGAGCCACCGAGCCTCTACTGTTAAAATTTATGGAAGGCCATTGTTTTGGACTGAGCTCCTATACTAGGCCCCAACAGACCAAACCAACCCGGAATGGAGGCACTCTCACATAATCAAACTGATCTTTAAAAAGGGCCAGTTTAAATTAAAAATGAAAAACAGGACCGAACAAACAAACAAACCCAAAACAGGAGATTCACAGCCACCAATCTGAAGGGTCCCAGTTTATCTGAGCTGGCATAAGAAAGTCTTATGTGTTAATCTTATGAGGAAAGTAACTCTGAAATAATCCACTTTTTGTTCCTTATTTCTCCTTTTTTAAAATTTACTTTATTATTATTATTTTTCTCTGACAGGGTCTCTCTCTGTTGCCCAGGCCAGAGTGCAATGGCATGACCACAGCTCACTGCAGACTCTACCACCTGGGCTCAAGCAATTCTCCCACCTCAACCTCCCGAGTTCCTGAGACCACAGTTGTACACCACCATACCCAGCTAACTTTTTACTCTTTTGTACAGATGGGGTGTTGCTCAGGCTGGTTTCGAATTCCTGGGCTCAAGAGATTCTCCTACCTCTGCCTCCCAAAGTGCTGAGATTACAGACATGAGCCACCGCACTGGGCCTATTTCTGCTTTCTTCAACCCTTTTCCAACCCTGAAGCCAACCAACCTCCTCTGCTCAACTCTGAGGACCTGCTGTCTGTTCTTTTGATGGGATGCTGCCTGATTCATGAATCGCTAATAAAAGCCAATTAGATCTTTCAATGCAATTTGTTGACATTTTGTTTTTTAACACTATTAATTAAAAAAAAATCAAGTTGACCCTTGAGAAGCCAAAAAGAAAAAAAAAATCAAATTAAATTTAAAATATATTGTATAACTATAATGAAGTTAACTTGTTGTAATGCTTGCAAAAAATAAATTTTTCCTTTACATGCCTTTTTAGGTAGTCAGTGTATTTTATGATTACGACTAAACGATTATAAACAGATTATAAAATTCTGTTTATAGTCAGGTGCGGTGGCTCACGCCTGTAGTCTCAGCACTTTGGGAGGCCAAGGTGGTTGGATCACGAGGTTAGAAGTTCGAGACCAACCTGACCAACATGGTGAAACCTTGTCTCTACTAAAAATACTAAAGTTAGCCAGGTGCGGTGGTGCGTGCCTGTAATCCCAGCTACTTGGGAGGCTGAGGCCGGAGAATCGCTTGAACCCACAAAGTGGAGGTTGCAGTGAGCCGAGATTGTGCCACTGCACTCCAGTCTGGGCGACACAGCGAGACTCCATGTCAAAAAAAAAAAAAAAAAAAAAAGTCTGTTTATAACTGTACTGAATATCTATATCTGAAATGCAATGATATACAAAAATACAGCCAGCTGAAACTTCCCTATTTTCTCTTCCCCAATGGGCCAGGGAAGAAAAGAGATTTAGACTTCCAGTGAAGTGGCTCACTGAGCTGGTAGGTGTTCTTTCCTTCCTCTCTTTTGGTTTTGGGCAGTCCCAAGGTGCTCATCCTTGGTCATTCCCTGATCTTGGGTGTTGTTCAGGGCAATCTCTGAGGAAAATTGTGAGGTAGCCAATTGTTGGACGTACCCTGGCTTCCTTTAGCATTCACTTCCTCTCTTCAAGTCCTCCTTTATCAACACATCCTCTCCGATCATATCAGTCATTTACATACTAGTGAGAATTGACTCCAATATACTTTCCTTCCCAGGGATATTTGCTTATAATACTTTATCTCCAATTGTGAATACAAGGGTTTGTTTCTGGTCCTGCCGTTTTAAGCACTGATGGGATAATGCAGAAACTATTTGCGGGGAGGAGCTGTGCAGTTATTTTCCCTTAAAATTGTCTTTTATAAGCAGATATATTCTCAGTTTATGAATATGGGCAGCTCCCAATTTATTGTACATATGTGACTGCAAGTTTTGAGGTCACATGCACTTCTGTGTACACACTTAGGTCATGCACATGCTCCCATATAAATGTGAGAGAAGACAGGTGGCAAAGCATGGAATTTGCTGATTAGGGAAATAAATACTTGATTTGCACTAGAAATAAGTTACTAAACTCCCTTTCTGTGCCATTGTCATCTCTTACTTGTAATGAATCTGCTATCAGACTAAACCTGGAGCTTTTTACATTTTGCTTTCTTTTGTTTTTCCAGTTTGACAAATGGACAGACTCTCAGAGAAGAAGAATCCTCACAGGCCTGTTGGAGCGCTGCTCGCTGTCCCAGCAAAAGTTCTGCTGTCGAAAGCTTCAAGAGAAAATTCCAGCAGAAGCCCTGGACTTTACAACCAAGCTTCCAAGGGTGTTATCTTTATACATCTTTTCTTTCCTGGACCCCCGGAGCCTCTGTCGTTGTGCACAGGTAAAGGCAAGGAAGGGGTATGTGGTGTTTTCTGAGAACAGCCTTAGGAAACTTGAAACTAGAAGTAGTTAAGGGGAAACACACACATACACACACACATATACACACATACACACAAACACAGACATATACACAAACACACTCATATACACACATACACACAAACACAGACATATACACAAACACACTCATATACACACATACACACATACAAATGTACACACACGCACACATAAACACACATACACACATACAAACATATACACATACAATTACACACAAATACAAATACAAACACACACAAACACATACACACAAACACAAATACACAAACACACACATATACACACATACACACATACAAACATACACACACAAATACATATGCACACAAACACACTTGAACACACATACACATACACAGACATACAGATAAACACAAACATACACATACATACACAAACACACATATACACACACACACGAAACTAAGAAAGAGATGGGAAGATGAGTATGTTCGTACATTTGTATTAACCTTCACCATCTTTGCGTCCAACTCTGTTTAGAACTCAAATGGGGAAAAAAGTATAGGCCACATTAGTATACAACAAAGAAGTATTAGCTAGTTGGGGAATTACATATACATGTAAGAAATGGTTCGTCAGCAGGATGGTCTTATACTGTACGGCATTCAGTTGCAATAAAGTCCTCAATTGTACAGTGCAGGTCATTCATGAATAAAAAAGCTCAAAATAAGGGCCTAATGAGATATGTACAAAAGAGAATGAGACTAAAAGAGATCCAAGTGGACAGGTGTGCTCATACAGGCCTTAGAAAAGGAGGTGATTGTTATTATTTTTTTCCTTTACAAGTAATTCCGTCCTGTATTAAAATGAAGTTAAATTATTTTAGATATAAAACTGGTAGTCATTTTGTTGAGTCTTTTCATAGAGTCTGGCAAGACTGGAAATTACCCGCCAGTGTGCATTCATATATGTGTGACATGTTAACTTGAGTTTTTAAAATTAAGAAAATGAATGCAGGAGGAAAGATGGATCTGGGTGTGGTGGCTCACACCTGTAATCCCAGCACTTTGGGAGGCCAAGGTGGGAGGATTGTCTGAGCCTAGGAGATCAAGACTAACCTGGGCAACATAGGGAGACCTCATCTTTACAAAACATTTTAAAATTAGGTGGGTGTGGTGATGTGTGCCTGTGGTCCCAGCTACTTGGGAGGCTGAAGTGGGAGGATTACTTGAACCCAGAAGGTTGAGGCTTCAGTGAGCTGTGACTGTGCCACTACACTATAGCCTGGGCAACATAGTGAGACTCTGTCTCAAAAAAAAAAAAATGTATTATTCAATAAATGGTATAGGGACAATTGAGCAACTCTCTGGAAAAAAAAAATTAAGTAGTATAAAAGACAGATGAAACCAAAGGAAACCATTAAAGTCCTCAAAGAAAACAGGAAAGGATGTCAGTATTCCATCATACCCAGAAGTCTTAAAAGAAAATACACAATTTAAAATCTTGCTTCCTCCATTTTTTGTATCATGAGCAAGAATGAAGAAAGCAGATTTTTAAACTGTGACTATAAAAATTAAAATATTCTTCATGGAACAGAACACCATAAATAAATCCAAACAGTAGGCAGGGAAAAAAAATCGATTGCATGCAAGGGCTAATTTCTTTATTTTTTTTTAAAGAGCTCTTATAAATCTATATTAAGAAAAAAAAAAAAAAGACCAACAACCCAGGAGAAAAATGAGCAAAGGAAATGAACAAGTAATCTACAGAAAAAGGAATACAGATGTCTCTAGAATATGTAAGATGCTTAGCCTCGTTCTGGCATGCCATCTTTCATGACTCAGATTGAGATTTGTTTTAAATGATAATATTCTATATTGGTGAGGATGTGGGAAAGCAAGAACTTTCATATATTGCTGGTAGATAAATTGATGTAACCACCATGGAGAACCATTGGGCAGTGTTAACATTGCAAATAAAAATTCCCTTTGCCCCAGCAGTTCCACTTCTTGGAATTTGTCTGATGGGTATCCTGCAACGTGGTAAAAGCCACACTTGTATAAGAATATTGCACGATTCTCTGTCCTAGCAATAGGTTGGAAACAATGAAAATATCTACCAGGAGGGACTGGGTAAATAAACTGCAACTATCTCCAAGATATGTCATTGGTTAAAAAAAAAAAAAAAGCAGAGGTGTAGAACTATCCTACCACATTTTGAAAAGAATAAAGAATATATACAGCCAGGCACAGTGGCTTGCCTGTAATCCCAGCACTTCGGGAGACCAAGGCTGGCGAATGCTTGAGGCCAAGAGTTTGAGACTGGCCTGGGCATTATGACGAGACCCCCATCTCCACAAAAAATACAAAAATTAGCCAGGTGTGGTGGCCCATGACCATAGTCCCAACTACTTGGGAGGCTGAGGTGGGAGGATCGCTGGAGCCCAGGTGTTTAAAGCTGCAGTGAGCCAAGATTGCAGCACTGTACTCTAGAGCCTGGGCAACATAGCAAGACCCTGTCTCTACAGTTAAGAATTAGCCAGGTCACGCTGGGCGTGGCAGCTCATGCCTGTAATCCCAGCACTTTGGGAGGCCGAGGTGGGCGGATCACGAGATCAGGAGATCGAGACCATCCTGGCTAACACAGTGAAACCCCATCTCTACTAAAAATACAAAAAATTAGCCAGGCGTGGTAGCGGGCACCTGTAGTCCCAGCTACTCGGGAGGCTGAGGTAGGAGAATGGTGTGAACCCGGGAGGTGGAGCTTGCAGTGAGCTGAGATCGCGCCACTGCACTCCAGCCTGGGCGACAGAGTGAGACTCCATCTCAAAAAAAAAAAACAAAAAAAAAAACTTAGGTCAGCCAGGTGCGGAGGTGACTCACACCTGTAATCCTAGCACTTTAGGAGGCCAAGGTGGGCAGATCACTTGAGGTCAGGAGTTTGAGACCAGCCTAGCCAGTATGGAGAAAACTCATCTCTATTATAAATGCAAAAAGTAGCCCTGTGTGGTGGTGCACACCTGTACCTACACCCAGCTACTTGGGGGGCATGAGGCAGGAGGGTTGCTTGAATCTGGGAGGAGGAGGCTGCAGTGAGCTGAGATCATGCCACTGCATTCTAGCCTGGGTCACAAAGTGAGACCCTGTCTCAAAAAAAAAAAAAAAAGAAAGAAAGAAAGAAAAAATTAGCCAGGTATGGTGACATGTGCCTAGAGTTCCAGCTACTTGAGAGACTAAGTAAGGCAGGAGGATTGCTTGAGCCTGGGGGTTGAAGGCTGCAGTAAGCTATGATCATGCCTCTGCACTCCAGCCTGAGCAACAGGGTGAGACCCTGTCTCAAAAATACATATATATGTTTGTTACTATATACCTAGAATATTCAAGAATTATTTACCAGAAACTGGTAACAGTGGTCTCATCCAAGGAGAAGAATGGGTGACTGGGGGACAGTGATGGGAGAGGGACTTCCTTTGTTTCTTTGAATTTGGTATTAATATGCACATACCTATTCCAAAAATGATTTTTTTTTTTGAGATGAAGTCTTGTTCTGTTGCTCAGGCTGGAGTGTAGTGGCACAATCTCGGCTCACTGCAACCTCTGCCTCCCGGGTTCAAGCGATTCTCCTGCCTCAGCCTCTCGAGTAGCTGTGATTACAGCATGCGCTACCATGTCTGGCTAATGTTTGTATTTTTAGTAGAGACAGGGTTTTACCATGTTGGCTAGGCTGGTCTCAAACTCCTGACTTCAAGTGATCCACTCACTTTGACCTCCAGGGGTGCTGCGATTACAGGTGTGAGGCATCACACCTGGCCTGAAATGACTTTTTAAAAGAGCATAGCAATCTGGATGCCCAGTAATAAGAGGGTATCATACAGCCATATATGATGCATTATTATTATTATTATTATTATTATTTTGAGACAGAGTCTTGCTCTCGTCTCCCAGACTGGAGTGCAATGACTCGATCTCGGCTCACTGCAACCTCCGCCCCACCAGGTTCAAGCGATTCTCCTGCCTCAGCCTCCCGAGTAGCTGGGATTACAGGCGCGTGTCACCACACCCAGCTAATTTTTGTATTTTTAGGAAAGACAGGTTTTGCCATGTTGGCCAGGCAGGTCTGGAACTCCTGACCTCAGGTGATCCATCCGCCTCGGCCTCTCAAAGTGCTGGGATTACAAGCTTGAGCCACTGCACCTGGCCTATGATGCATTATTGTGCAACCATTAGTAAACATGTTTTGGAAGAACAGAGATGTTATAATATTTAAAATGAAAAAATATTTTAAGTTGTATATAGGGTTTCCTGATTTTCTTTTGTATATACTTCAAATAAAGACTGAAAGGAAAAGAACTGTAGCAGGTTGTCAATAATGGTCATCTCTGATTAATGGGGTCATGGGTTAAACTTCTCAGAATTTTTCATTTTCCACAAGGATAATATTATTATTAGAAGGAAATGTTATTTGAAATAGCTAATTCTATCATCTGTATGCACTGTAAGACATAATTTCTCCTCACTACTGACTGTGGGGAAAACACAGACCATCATTCTTCAGCTCAATTTAAAGTAAACCATATAAAGTCCCTGCTGTTTTAAAAAGATGGAAGGTTGTGGAGGAACTGTGTCCTGTAGATTTGAAAGCTCTTACTTACCTTTCAATTCTCTTCATTCCTCTCTACCTTTAAACAAACAAAATAACACAAAAAACAAAAACTATATTTGCCTTGGGAAGAAAAACAACTTAAGTACTCAGGTCAAAACATTATCTAAAGAAGAGGAGAAACCCTTAGATAGGCGTGGTGCATGCCTGTAATCCCAGCTACTCGGGAGGCTGAGGCAGGAGAATGGCTTGATCCCGGGAGGCAGAAGTTGCAGTGAGCCAAGATTGCGCCACTGCACTCCAGCCTGGGCAACAAGAGCAAAACTGTCTCAAAAAAAAAAAAAAAAAAAAAAAGAAGAAGAATAAGGAGAAAAGGAATGAAAATTGAGACTTTTCTCCCCCTTCCCTTTCCCAAAAACTCCATCTCCCCATTGAATTCTGAGTGAATTTACCATACGGAGATGAGGTTGGTGTTGTTTCATTTCTGGGTCAAACAAACTAAATGTGATTTCTGTTGCTGCCTATAGGGCTCTATCAAATCCTTAACTTTTTCCTCCTTCCCTAACCTTTCCTGAATTTATTATTTCTTCTAATTGTGCCCTACTCTTTCCTCAACGTCTCATCTTCTGCACATAAAACAATACTAAACATAGGAGGAACTCAATAAATGGTGAGTGGAAGTGGGGAGGCAGAGAGGGATAGAAAAATAGGTGTGTGGACAGCAAGGCCATTACGGAGTGTTCCCTTTTGGGGGTGAAGGGGCACTCAAAAATTATTAATTATTTAATTAATCTTGAAAAAGAGGCCAGTTTTCTAAGGGTGAAATTTGGGCTTGAAGGTTATATGTCATCTTTGCAACTCTTACAAAGACACTGAATCCCTCGTTTCAGCTTTATATGTGAACTTGATCCTAGTTTCTGGCAAGACTTATTCAAACCCTTGGGTAAATTATTATAAATATTGCTACACATAGTAGGGCCATCTCTGCCATTTGCTGGATGGGTGGGATTAGCCATAATGCTCTGGAACTGGTATGTACAGAATAAATGCTTTCTGCTTTGTGGAATCCTAAAGGCTCTATACATCACATGGTATCAGTGATTATATTCCATTATAAAATTTATATTTAGTGAAATTGAAAGAATGGAGGTGATATGGTTTGGCTATGTCCCCACCCAAGTCTCATCTTGAATTGTAGCTCCCATAATTCCCACATGTTGTGGGAGGAACCCAGGGGGAGAAAATTGAATCATGGGGATGGTTTCCCCCATACTGTTCTCATGGTAGTGAGTCACTCTTATGAGATCTGATGGTTTTATAAAGGTTTCCCCTTTTGCTTGGCTTTCGTTCCCTCTTGCCTGCCGCCATGTAAGACATGACTTTTGCCTTCCACCATGATTGTGAGGCCTCCCCAGCCACATGGAACTACGAGTCCGTTAAACCTCTTTCTCTTTATAGATTACCCAGTCTTGGTATGTTTTTATCAGCAATGTGAAAACAGACTAATGTAGGAGGGAAAAGGAAGCACACCATGAAAAGAATAAATAAAGTGCAGACCCAAGTTTATATAATCCTTATACAACTTTTATATGACCTTTGGAAACCTCTGGAAAGTTCCAAAGTCTATCTGAGCCCCAATTTCCTCATTGGCAATATGAGAGTAATAATTGTACTTACCTCCCTAGGTTGCTATGAAGATAATTAATAGGTGCTCCATAAATATTAATTGACTCTGATTCTAAATCTGAATTAGAATTTAAAGCAAATGCTAATTTACTTTAAATCTGCCTGGGTAGGAAACACTTCAGGTAGGAGGTGACCATTTAAGCTATGGTTTGGAGGCAAAGGACAAAAAAAGTTATCTCAGGCCCAGGATGACAGTTCAAACCCTAGAGAAAGTGGGCATATAAACTGAGGGGGTTGTTCGATTTGGTTTTGTTTAATTGTAATTGTTTTTCCAGGTGTGCTGGCATTGGAAGAACCTAGCCGAGCTGGATCAGCTCTGGATGCTGAAATGTTTACGGTTTAACTGGTACATCAATTTCTCTCCAACTCCTTTTGAGCAGGGGATCTGGAAGAAGCACTATATTCAAATGGTGAAAGAACTTCATGTTACCAAGCCTAAGGTGAATTTTAGACAAAAAGCCGCAAGCTTGCAAACATTGACTCTTTGCAAATTCTAGAACTAAGAATAAAGGATCAGATTGGAAATTGGGGAAGGGAGGTAGTTCAAAGGACATATACTATGATTTCAAAATTATCCTTTCCTGAGATTTGATAGTTGTTTTCAAGACATTCATGTTAGTTGAGAGCCCTCATTTGCCACGCCCAAACCACAGTTGCATCCAGGCGGTTAGGACCACGGAACTTTTTTCTCTGTCCAGGTCCCTGGTTTCTGTGTCTCTGACAGTGACATCAGACGGTTCTTACATGGGAACTCTGTGGGTAATGTGAAGTATTTGTTACCTATGGGTCTTCAAGTTTTACTTTACTAATTCAAATTTTCTGTGATTGTACCAGGTGAGCTGAAGTTTATTTTTGTATCGTTTATAAGGAAAAGTTTTCTAATAAATGAGTCATCAGGGAAGGGCCCCATGGGCATATTAGAATTCTTAGTTTTTGCTAGGAACTAAGCAATGTAGAGCATTTACATATATTAATAAAAAGTAAATAATTCAAGAATAATGTTTTCTAGTGGCTTCCTATGCATTCTAACCAATGCTTATATTCATTCGTATAGTCCCAGCTAATGAGATAATTTATGGGAAAATTTTATGAGCCCTTTGTTTATAGTATTATCTATACACATGCAGAGTTGTGCATAATTTTGTACAATAGATGAGTTCCTGAAAAATTATGTGTAAATTACATTTTTAAAATGATTTTTAAAACCACAGGGGTATTAAAGCTAGTGAAAAAAACAGCAATGAATCCTGTTAAAATTGGAGAATCCTTTTGAAATATGAACAGTCAACTCCTAGCTTGCTTATTTCAGTTTAGGCTTTATTGTGTTTTCTTGAAATAGGCTCCATCTACACTTAATACAGTAATAAACTATGCATAATTAATATTGTTACAATTGTAATGATAAAAGTCTTTCTGATTTCAGTAGTTGGTATGCTCCATGAGGATTTCTTTTAAAAAGAGAGTTTTAAGTGAAGCATTTTTAAAGTTCTCTTGAAAATTCCCGTAGCTCTGACTCCTTTCCTAGTGAGACTTCTCCTGCATCTCATTCTCAGGAAGCAATAGTGGAAGCTCAGGCTGTTCAAGGGCAGAGGAGAGAAAAGTGATTAACCAACTAGTAAAATGAAAAGTTGTGAGTTTTATATATACATATATATATATATAAAACTGACTTTGGGGCCAGGCACAGTGATTTATGCCTATAATCCCAGCACTTTGGGAGGCCATGGCAGGAGGATTGCTTGAGGCCAGGAGTTTGAGACCAACTTATATAACATAGGAAGACCCTGTCTCTACAGAAAATTTAAAAATTAGCTGGGTGCAGTAGCACACTCTTGCAGTTCCAGCTACTTGGGAGGCTGAGTTGGGAGGATCACTTGAGCTCAGAAGGTTGAGGCTGCAGTGTGCTGTGGTTGTGCCACACTCCAGCCTGGGTGACAGTGCAAGACTCTGTCTCAAAAAAAAAAAAAAATTAGTTGGGCGTGGTGGCATGCACCTGTAATCCCAACTACTCAGGAGGCTGAGGCAGGAGGATCACTTGAACCTGGGAGCTGGAGGTTGCAGTGAGCTGAGATCGAGCCACTGTACTACATCCTGGGCGATAGAGCAAGACTGTCTCAAAAAAAAAAAAAATCAATGTAATTCATGAAATAAAAGAGAAAAAAGTGCATGTTTCAGCAGCACATATACTAAAATTGAAACGATTCAGAGAAGACATGCAAATTCATGAAGCAGTCCGTATTTTTTTAAAGAGAGGAAAGATATATGATCACTTCAATATATCCAAACAAAAGCACTTAACAAAATTCAACATCTATTCATGATTAGGAAAATTCTCAAAAAGACTCCAGGCGATGTGAACAAAAATTTTGTTTACTTAATACAAATAAGTTATCACAGGTTTCACTATTACCTATTTTGTTAAAGTGTAAGCATTTTGTACTATACAGAATTAATGATTTTTTACATATGACTACTAGCATTTATGCCTAAAATTTCCCCTGAAGTTATTTTTTATTATCATATATTATTTATTCCCAGCAGTATTAAACTAGACCTCTTCCAGCAAAAACAGATTTAATTCAATATAAGCTCAGGGAAATGAAATGAATGTCCATTCTGAACGAGACTTGCACAAAATACTGAATACTAAACCAATAATGAGCTATCAATTTTGTAAATATGAAATGTCTTCTTAATCTGCTTCTAGGTTACAGTCATTCATTGAATAAACAAATTTCACTCTGTCGCCCAGGCTAGAGTGCAGTGGCGCGATCTCGACTCACTGCAACCTCTGCCTCCGGGGTTCAAGCGATTCTCCTGCCTCAGCCTCCCAAGTAGCTGGGATTACAGGCATGCGCCACCACGCCTGGCTAATTTTTTTGTATTTTCGGTAGAGACGGGGTTTCACCATGTTGGCCAGACTGGTCTCGAACTCCTGACCTCACATGATCCACCCTCCTCAGCCTCCCAAAGTGCTGGGATTACAGGCATGAGCCATCACGCCCAGCCTGAATAAATATTTATTAAACACTGTTGTGAGCTAGGTGCTAAACATAGAAAGACCCCAGCCCTGCTTTCACAGAGCCTAGTCTAGTAGCCCAGGACATAGAAAAATAAACAAATAATTACAACACTGAGTACTAAAGCGTTATCCAACAGAATTGTATACAAAGAGCTGTTGAAACAAGGATGAGAAACTAACTGATTATGCTTGGAGGAAATGAGGAATTTCTTGATTTTCACCAACAATGGAAGCAAACTGATTTACCAAGCAAAGCTTCCTTAATCTCTTAATGAACAAAAATTAAGCCCTTAGTGGCTTCTCAACTTACCAATAGTACTTTCCTTAGGCTACAACCACATAAAAACATTATGAATTTCACAGACACGAGACAGGCTTTCAGTTTTGGAGATTAAAGCAGAAGTATTCTTTGGGAGTGGTTGAGGTTTTGATAATTGATACAATTTCTAGTCTACGTCTCTACAACTCAAAGTTGTTTCTATGTGTTAGAGGTCATGAGAGCTGGAGTACTTTTTTGGGGGAATGTGTACTTTTTATGAGTAAATTAGCTGCAGTTGTGACAAACTAGACAATGGTATGGTAGAAGAGTAGGATAGGGAGGTCTTATATATGGGCTTGAAGCAAGACAGTTCTGTATTCAAATTCTGGCCCTCCAACTTACTACTTTTGTAGTAGTGGGCAAATTAATTAGTTTGTTCTATATTCTATTTCCTCTTCTGCAAAACAGAAGTAGTAATGATTACCTTATAGAGTTATTGTGAAGGTTAAACAATATAATGCATGAAAACTGCCTGAGACAGTGCCTGCAACATGGCAAGTACTCCTGGAGTGGTGGCTGCTATAATCATTGTCACCATGGTAATGGTATAGGACGTTCAATATATTCTTTGTTTTATTGTTGTTGTTGTTATTATAGGGTGTGGTTTTGTTTTTTGTTTGTTTTTTGAGATGGAGTCTCGCTCTTGTCACCCAGCCTGGAGTGCAATGGCACGATCTTGGCTCACTGCAACCTCCGCCTTCCAGGTTCAAGTGATTCTCCTGCCTCAGCCTCGCGAATGGCTGGGACTACAGGCGCCTGCCACCCTGCCCAGCTAATTTTTGTATTTTTAGTAGAGATGGGGTTTACCATGTTGGCCAGGCTGGTCTCGAACTCCTGACCTCAGGTAATCCGCCTGCCTTGGCCTCCCAAAGTGCTGGGATTATGGACGTGAGCTACCACACCCAGCGTATTATGGTGTTTTGAGAACATAATTAACTTTCTTCTTCTAGACACCCCCAAAGGATGGATTTGTAATCGCTGACGTTCAACTAGTTACAAGCAATTCTCCAGAGGAAAAACAGTCCCCTTTATCAGCTTTTCGGTCCTCTTCCTCTTTAAGAAAGAAGAATAACTCAGGGCAGAAAGCACTTCCACCCTGGCGATCTTCTGATAAGCATCCAACAGATATCATTCGTTTTAATTACCTAGACAACTGTGACCCCTTGGAGACTGTCTGGCAAGGGTAAGAAGCTCCATGCTCTTCTCAACGTCTTTGTTTTTAGAAATAATTTATTGGCATTTCAGTATATGAAGAGATGAAAATAGAACTTACTGTGAAATACAAAAGCTTTTCAGTACATAGAAGCAAAAAGTAATAGAACAGGATACTAACCATTACTAGCAAATTTGCTCTATTGGTTACAGTATGTTTGCATTTTGTAATAGTAATGATTTAACATTGCTTCTTCTAATTTTTTTTTTTTTTTTTTTTTTTTTGAGACGTAGTCTCTGACGCTCGCCCAGGCTGGAGAGCAGTGGCGCAATCTCAGCTCACTGCAACCTCCACCTCCCGGGTTCAAGTGATTTTCCTGCTTCAGCCTCCCAAGTAGCTGGGACTACAGGCGGCTGCTACCATGCCCAGCTAATTTTTGTATTTTTAGTAGAGACAAGGGTTTCACCATGTTGACCAGGTTGGTCTTGAACTCCTGACCTCAGGTGATCCACATGCCTCGGCCTCCCAAAGTGCTGGGATCACAGGCATGAGCCACTGTGCCTGGCCTCTTCTAATATTTTAATATTAAATTGCAATCCAGCACCAAAGGGTTCATTCTAGCCATTATTCTTTCTGTATTTGTACCTCCCTTTTCTGATGGTAAGAAACCTGACACTCATTAGATTTACTGATTGTATTTTCTATATATATATATGTATGTATGTATATACAATTATAAATAAATTCTGAAAGTAAAGCTGGGTAAGGTGGCATGTGTCTGTAATCCTAGCACTTTGGGAGGCCGAGGCAGGAGGATCACTCGAGCCTAGAAGTTTGAGACGAGCCTGGGCAACACAGCTAGACCCTATCTCAAAAAAAAAAAAAAAAAAAGAGAGAGGGAGAGATAGAGAGATAGAAAGAGAGAAAGAAAACAAAGAAAAAATATTTTTGGTTCTTTGACAAACACACCAGAAATCTCTTCATGAGTATCTTTCAAACCTAGAAACATCCTGTCAGGAGCCAATAGGGCTCTAGTACAATATCTTAAGCTGAAAGTGACTCTTCAGCTCTCCCCAAAGATGTGGAATATGTGAAACAGCCTTGGATCTTTGAGGTTTCCTGGTGGAGCTCCTTTGTTGTTTATTAAAATATTATACTTGAAAGAAGGCGGCTGGGTGAGTGCAGGGATGGAGGTGCCTCTTTCTTGCTTAAATGTTTCCCTTAGTAAAAGGGCATTACCTTTCACTTCTAGATGAATTAAACACAAATCAAGGACCATTGGACTGGATTTGTCAAGGATTTAGGCCTTTTTAAAAAAGTGCTAAGCCTTTTAAAAAATTATTATTTTTTTTTATTTTTTGTAGAATGGGATCTCATTATGTTGCCCAGGCTGGTCTCTAACTCCCAGACTGAAGTAATCAGACTCAAGTGAACCTCTCACCTCGCCGTCCCAAAGTGCTGGGATTACAGGCATGAGCCACCATGCCTGGCTAGTGGTTAGGTCTTCACAAGTTTTGGTGCCTACTGCTGGCATGATGGACAGCGCCAGCCCAGTATGAACCAGCACACAGGTACAAGAAGGGCTGAGGTATTACTCCACAGAGGTCCAATTTCAGAGGCACATAATTGAGATCAGAGTCCTGGGAATGGAGCAAGCCGGAGAGACTGAGCTGGAGTCAGGTTGGTGACAGAAAAATCAAGAGATAGTGCAAAGATTAAACAAATGAAACGGAGCAACCCTGAAGCTCATTTCCCCAAGTAGACCTGACACCCCAGACTTTTCACTCTCTTGATAGCATCTTTTAGGGCACAAAAGTTTTCAATTTTGATGAAGTCCAATTTGTCTAAATTTTTGGTGTCATATCCAAGAAATCATTGCCAAATCCAATGTCATGGCAATTTTCCTGTACATTTTCTTCTAAGAGTTTTGTGTTTTAGTTCCGCGGTTGAGGTCTTTGATCCATTTTGAGTTAATTTTTGCATATGGTATAAAGTTGGGGTCCAACCTCATTGTTTTGCATGTAGATATCCCGTTTCCCCAGCACCATTGTTGAAAAGACTGTCCTTTGCCCCACTGAATAGTCTTAGATGAAAGTCAATAGACCATATATGTAAGGGTTTTAACTCTGGGCTCCTTATTCTATTCTATTGTTCTCTATGTTGGTCTTTACACCAGTATGACACTGTTTTGATTATTGTAGCTCTGTAATAAATTTTAAAACCAGAAAGTGGGAGTCCCCCAATTTTGATCTTCTTTTTGGACATTTATGCAAATCACCCTTCTTTTTTGTTTTTTCTTTTCTTTTATTTATTTATTTTTTTTTTGAGACAGAGTCTTGCTCTGTCACCCAGACTGGAGTGCAGTGGCATGATCTCGGCTCACTGCAACCTCTGCCTCCTGGGTTCAAGCCATTCTCCTCCTCAGCCTCCCTAGTAGCTGGGATTACAGGTGCTCACCACCACGCCCAGCTAATTTTCGTATTTTTAGTAGGGACGGGGTTTCACCATGTTGGCCAGGCTGGTCTCGAACTCCTGACCTCTTGCTCCGCACACCTCAGCCTCCCAAAGTGCTGGGATTACAGGCATGAGCCATTGCGCCTGGCCCATATCACCCTTCTTTATTGGGCCAAGGGAGCTGAGCTGAGAGGTTGGAGTGAACTCCCAAAAAGATCAGGCCAGGTGTGGTGGCAAATACCTGTAATCCCAGAACTTTCGGTGGCTGAGGCAGAAATATCATCTGAGTCTAGGAGTTTGAGACCAGCCTGGGCAACATAGCAGGAACCTGTCTCTATAAAAATAAAATAAAATTTGCCAAATGTGATGGTGCATGCCCGTAGTCCCAGCTACTCAGGAGGTTGAAATGGGAAGATTGCTTGAGCCCAGGAAGTGGAGGCTGCAGTGAGCCATGGTTGTGCCACTGCACTCCAGCCTGGGTGATGGAACAAGACCTTGTCTCAAGAAAAAAAAAAAAAACAGAAGCCTACATAGCAATATACATGCATTTGATCTATATGTCACTTCAGCATTTTCTTTTCTTTTGTTTTCTCCATAGATTTCCCCTCTGTCCTTTTTTTTTTTTCCTTGCAATTTATTTGTTATAGCTATCAGACCATTTATCCTGGAGAGCTTCTCACATTCTGGATTTTGTTGATTGCACCGCCCACATGCATCTTAACAGGTTCTTCTGTCCCCTGTACCTGGCTATACTGAGAGTCAGACCTAGAGGCTTATGTATATACTGAACAGGGATATGTACTTCCGTCACAACGCCCATCATTTCTGGTTGTCTCTCTTGTGTTGGTAGCCATGGATACTCATCGCCTAGATCTATTACATCAGGCAAACTTTTCCTGTAAATGGCAAGGCAGGAAATATTTTAGTCTTTGCCGGGCATATGGTCTCTGTCACAGCTGCTCAACTCTGCCATTGTAGCCTGAATATAGTAATAGACGATGTGCAAGAAATAAGCATGACTATGTTCCAATAAAACTTTACTTACAGAAACAGGTGGCAGACTGGCTTGAGCCTGTGGGCTGTGGTTGGAGGAGCCTTACTTTATCCTAATATATACAGGAGTTTTAGAAAACAAATGCTAATATTAAAGCAAGTGATATGATTACTGAAAACAGTTTGACTTCCCTGTCTGTGTTTTTATCTCTCAGATATATTCTATCAAGAATATTCAGACAAATTACTGCATTAAACTCACATGAAGTAACTCCTTTGTGTGTAGTAATGCCACCAACTCAATAGATAATATATATGTTTCATTTTGCTTTTCAGATTTTAGATATTTTTCAGTTCATTTTATTTTATGATTTTGAGAAAAAATTAGATGGTTCCAAAATTAAATATACAAAATAAGCTATACTTGGAGAAATCTAACTTTTGGTCCCTGTTCCTCCGTATTACTTGTTCCTTTTTTTTCTTTTCTTTCTTTTTTCTTTTTTGTTTGATTTAGGGTCTCACTCTGTTGCCCAGGCTAGAGCACAGTAGCGTAGTCATGGCTAACTGCAGCCTGGACCTCCAGGGCTCAAGCGATCCTCCCACCTTAGCCTTCTGAGTCACTGAAACTACAGGCATGCACCACCATGCCCAGCTAAATTTTTTAATTTTTTGTAGAGATAGGGTCTCACCGTGTTGACCAGGTGGGTCTCAAACTCCTGCACTCAAGTTATCCTTCCCCCTCGCTTTCCAAAGAGCTGGGGTTACGGACATGAGTCACCGTGCCCAGCTCACATTCCCTGTTTTTGATCAGTTCACATGGGAATCCTACTTGTAGGTAACTGTTTTTCATTTTATGGTTTGATCTTTCCATTTTATTTATTTATTTATTTATTTATTTATTTTTTGAGATGGAGTCTCACTCTGTCACCCAGGCTGAAGTACAGTGGTACGATCTCGGCTCACTGCAACCTCTGCTTCCTGGGTTCGAGTGATTCTCCTGCTTCAGCCTCCCAAGTAGCTGGGACTAGAGGTGTGTGCCACCACGCCTGGCTAATTTTTGTATTTTTAGTAGAGATGGGGTTTCACCATGTTGGCCAGGCTAGTCTCGAACTCCTGACCTCAGGTGATCCACCCGCCTTGGCCTCCCAAAGTGCTGGGATTACAGGCGTGAGCCACCCCACCTGGCCATAATCCTTCCATTTTAAAAAGTACAAGTAAATATATATGCACAATATGTAGAGGCAGAGATCTTAATACCTTCTTGAAATGAATGGCAGCACACAGTACGTACCGTCTCATCCACCCTTCTTTCTTCACGTAACAGTATATCCTGGAGATCCTTCTACAGTTGAATATAGAAACATCCTACCTTCCTTTTGCAGCTCATAGTACTGCATTGTGTGGAGATGCCAGAGTTGATTCAACTAGTTCTCTATTGATAGATATTTGGCTTATTTCCAGTTAAGTGGAGACAATCTTTTAAATCATGGCAACAACAAACTCAAACAGACAAATAGCTATGCAAACCACCGAGTGTTAAAAAGATACTTTGTAATTTCCCCACTGCTTTCCAATTTACAGAAGAAAAAAAAGAAACGAAATGACCCCAGATTTCAGCCGACAGTCACATGATAAGAAAAATAAGTTGCAGGACAGAACTAGGCTAAGAAAAGCACAATCAATGGTAAGTATTGTTTATAAAAGATTCGTCACCATAACATTAATGAAAATCTCCAGATCTCTAATCCTATTTGCAAAATTGAATTCGTTTATTTAATCAGAATCATGGAGTGGTGATTAAATTCGGGTTTCTGACACTGACAGACAGAGAAGCCATGACCTTGAAGATACACTTTATTTAATCTCTCGGAGCCTCTGTTTTCTCATCTGTTTAAAAAAAAAAAAAAAGACTGGATGAACTGATGTGTATGAAATTGCTTTGAAAACTGTATGATATAAGGGGAGTATTTTTGTTTGTTTGTTTAAGACAGAGTCTTGCACTTGTTTCCCTGGCTGGAGTGCAATGGCGTGATTTCGACTCACTGCAACCTCCGCCTCCTGGGTTCAAGTGATTCTCCTGCCTCAGCCTCCCAAGTAGCTGGGATTACAGGTGCCTCCACCATGCCAAGCTAATTTTTGTATTTTTAGTAGAGATGGAGTTTCTCCATGTTGGCCAAACTGGTCTCCAACTGCTGACCTCGGGTGATCCACCTGCCTCAGCCTCCCAAAGTGCTGGGATTACAGGCATGAGCCACCGTTCCTGGCCAAGGGAAGTATTTTTTTTTTTTATCAGTGGTTCTTTTTTCTGCCGAGTCCTTTGGGGCAGGGGGAGGTGCTATCAGAAATCGCTATCTCTAAGTGAAGGAAGGTTCCCCTGATCTAAGTGCATTTAGGCCAGGCATGGTGGCTCACGCCTTTAATCCCAGTACTTTGGGAGACTGAGGCAGGAGGATCACTTGAGGTCAGGAATTCGAGTGCAGTCTGGGCAACACGGCGAAACCCTGTCTCCACTAACAATACAAAAATTAGCTGGGTGTGGTGGCACATGCCTGTGGTGGGTGCGGGGGAAGCAGGAGGATGGCTTGAACCTAGGAGGCAGAGGTTATAGTCAGCCAAGATCGCACCACTGCACTCCAGGCTGAGCAACAGAGTGAGACTGTCTCAAAAAAAAAAAAAAAAAGAAAAGAAAAGAAAAGAAAAAAAAGGAAAATGCATTTAAAGTAACTTTGGAAAACATGAATTAAGAACTTTTCCTTTCCTAATTAAAAAACAGCGAATTGACTACCTAATAAAGCCAGTAATTGTGACTAGGGAGCATTATCATTGCATAGCAGAGTTTCCCAAATCGTGGCTCCGAAGCCCTGTGGATCTTTCAGCACATTATGCAAGTCTTTGGCACGAAGTAGAAAGCACTAAGGGTGAAATTAAAAGTTCATATATAGTAGTAAGGATTTAGAAAAGAGATGAAGATACACACTCAAGGAAAATTAATATAAAATGGATGTCAGCTGGGAGAGGAAAAAGTACGTACTCAGGAATAAATCACTTTTATAGCTCTGCTTTAAAGCTCTATTACTTTCTGTTTAAATGTATTTTCAAGTGTTATGTTGCAAAAAAAAAAAAAAAAAAAGCAGAGAGAGAGATGAGCTTCTTTAAACAGGGCCATCTGAATTCTGTAGGGCCAGTTTTGTTGGGCTGGATGAGGCTTATCATAGACATGTGTACTGATGCCCAAGGGAATGGGGGAGCTTAGAGCAAAGCAGTAAAATTGTCAGTGAAGCCATTAACTGAGAAAAATAACTATATGAGGCTTATCACATGAGCCATTATGGCATGCTTCTGCCTGGTCTCCAGGCCGTGATAGGCAAGGAGTGGAAGAGAAGTCCAAGGGAGAATGGGGAATTTGAAGGACAATAAAAATTGATGGTGATGCATGCTGAGAAATTATCAGCACAGTCAGACATTTCTCCTGCTTCGAAAACACAAAACCCAAAGCTAAGCCATCCCCATGGGCTTTTGACATTAACCATCTGTCAAACACTAGCAGGGCTTGCTTAAGTGAAAGCATTCATTATAAATTAAAAAGTTAAGAAGTTGTACTAATTAAGGCTGAAAGGGAAACCAGAGTACGTTAAGCAATGATGGAAGAATTAGCTCTTTGTGAACGGGGCTCTTAAGTGTGTCTGTCTATTCTTGTGTTTTTTTTTGTAAATGTACTAATTATAATCACTATTTATGTTTTGTAGTTTTGATAAAGAGTATAAGGCATCATTAAATCCCCCAAAAAGTATGCTGTGATATATGACTCATGCCGGTGATGAGCTTGCCAAAAACAAGCTTGGCTGTTTGGGATACAAGGCGGGTGTGACTCAGTTCTCCTCTCCACAGGATAGTAGTTCGCCCTCATCGGCCTCCTAAGTGATGCAAGATGATTGTGAAAATGAAGAAATAGGCCAGGCGTGGTGGCTTATGCCTGTAATCCCAGCACTTTGGGAGGCCAAGGTGGGCGGATCACAAGGTCAGGAGATTGAGAGCATCCTGGCTAACACGGTGAAACCCTGTCTCTACTAAAAATACAAAAAAAAAAATTGGCCAGGCGTGGTGGCGCGCGCCTGTAGTCCCAGCTACTCAGGAGGCTGAGGCAGGAGAATTGCTTGAACCCGGGAGGCGGAGGTTGCAGTGAGCCAAAATCACACTACTGCACTCCAGCCTGGGTGACAGAGCGAGACTACGTCTCAAAAAAAAAAGAAGAAGAAGAGAAGAGGAAATGGGTACTGAGGAAATCCAATCAGGGGAACAAAGGAAAGTGAGGGTAAAACTCTGGTAACTGCAGCCATAGAGTGAATTTGTTACGCCAGACATAGCCCAGGTGTGATTCCAGTGCAGAAAATCATGTATTCATTTGATACATGAATGTTACCAGAAAGGGGTCTGGATCTAGACCCCAAAAGAGAGTTCTTGGATCTTGTGCAAGTTCGTAAAGTGAAAGCAAGTTTCTTAAGAAAGTAAAGAAATAAAAGAATGGCTACCCCATAGAGCAGCTCCGAGGGCTGCTGGTTGCCGATTTTTATGGCTATTTCTCGATTATATGCTAAACAAGGAGTGGATTATTCATGCCTCCCCCTTTTAGACCATATAGGATAATTTTCTGATGTTGCCATGGCATTTGTAAACTGTCATGGCGCTAATGGGAGTGTAGCAGTGAGGATGACCACAGGTCACTCATGTCGCCATCTTGGTTTTGGTAGGTTTTGGCCGGCTTTTTTATTGCAACGTGTTTTATCATTAAGGTCTTTATGACCTGTATCTTGTGCTGACCGCCTGTCTCATTCTGTGACTTAGAATGCCTTAACCGTCTGGGAATGCAGCCCAGTAGGTTTCAGCCTCATTTTACCCAGCCCCCCTTCAAGATGGAGTTGCTCTGGTTCAAACACCTCTGATAGAAAGTTCCCCCATCATTTAGACAGGTTTATGGAGGAAGATTTCAGGAGGACCTAGAGAAGTGGGTGAGCAGGACAAACTTAGGGGAGCACCTTCTAAAGACAAAGATGAAAGTGACATACCCCCAAACCCTGACCCTCAAACCTAGGAGGTTACCTGAGACCTGAACACTTGAAGATTCCTCGCTCCTATTATCAGGAAAGAGGCTTTGTTAAATGGAAAGGGCAGGAAGAGAGAAGACAATGGGAGAATAAAAGAGGACACGTGGCCGGGGGGCAGTGGCTCATACCTGTCATCCCAGCACTTTGGGAGGCTGAGATGGGAGAATAATTGAGGCCAGGAGTTTGAGACCAGCCTGGGCAACACAGCAAGATCCCATCTCTACAATAAAACGTTTTTGAATTAGCTAAGCATGGCAGGGGCATGCACCTGTAGTTCCAGCTACTCTGGAGGCTGAGGTGGGAGGATCACTTGAGCCCGGGAGTTTGAAGCTGTAGCGAGCCATGATCTCACCACTGCACTCCAGTCTGGGTGACAGAGTGAGACCCTATCTTAAAAAAAAAAAAAAGTACAGGTAATATTCCTTAGTTCATCTCTCTGGGGATGTGGCTCTCAGATCACTGACACCAGCCTCCCTTTTCGCGTATCATTACTTAAGCCTACAGATGTGAGTGCTCTCTCCAAAAACAGAACCATACTTGGGGAAACGGTTTCACATCTTCCACATGTTGCAGTGAGCTTGTCATGTTTCCTATTCGATGAGTTTGAGTTTTCAAAACCTGCCCCCTTGCAAGTGTACCTGATTTGCTCTTCTGCTTTTGATTCTAAAGCGGACCCCAAGTGCTGCCTTAGAACCACTTAGTCTAACCATTTTTTGGGGTGAATGATTGATGAACGATGGGCTGGGCAAGGTGGCTTACACGTGTAATCCCAGAACTTTGGGAGGCTGAAGCAGGAGGATCACCTGAGGTCAGGTGGCCAACCTGGTGAAACCCTGTCTCTACTAAAAATACAAAAATTAGCTGATTGTGGTGGTGGGCACCTGTAATCTTAGCTACTTGGGTGGCTGGGGCAAGAGAATCACTTGAACCCAGGAGGCAGAGGTTACAGTGACTTGAGATCGCACCATTGTGCTCCAGCCAGGGTGACAGAGCAAGACTCTGTCTCAAAAGAAAGAAAAAAGATGGGAATAAAGCTTAGACCTGATTGCTAATCCTTTACAGTTTTGAAGGCTTCTTATGAAAATTATGTAAATGTCAAGACACTCCCATTACAATTAGTTATGAGAACAAGATTCCATATAAAACAAAGCAATTGAAAATATAAACTCCGGCCGGGCACAGTGGCTCATGCCTGTAATCCCAACACTTTGAGAGGCCGAGGAGGGCGGATCACGAAGTCAGGAGATGGAGACTGGCCTGGTCAACATGGTGAAACCCCATCTCTACTAAAAATACAAAAATTAGGCATGGTGGTGCATGCCTGTAATCCCAGCTACTTGGGAGGCCGAGATCACACCACTGCACTCCAGCCTGGGTGACAGAGCAAGACTGTCTCGAAAAAAAAAAACCAATATATATATACACACACATACACACATACACACACATACTGTGGAGTTTATATATATATGTGTGTGTATATATATAAATTCCACAGTGTGTGTGTATATATATGTATATATACATATATATATAAACACAGTAGTCAGATACCATCTTCATTAAACTTAAAAGATTTTCA